GTGTGTGTGTCAGTGTGTCACAGTGTGTGTGTGTGTCAGTGTGTCACAGTGTGTGTGTCAGTGTGTCACAATGTGTGTGTGTCAGTGTGTCACAGTGTGTGTGTGTGTGTGTGTGTGTGTATCACAGTGTGTGTTGTGTGTTGTGTGTGTCCCTGTGTGTGTGTGTGTGTGAGAGTGTGTGTGTGTCACATTATGTGTGTGTAGGTGTGTGTGTGTGTGTCACAGTGTGTGTGTGTGTGTCACAGTGTGTGTATGTGTGTGTCACAGTGTGTGTGTGTGTGTCAGTGTGTCACAGTGTGTGTGTGTCAGTGTGTCACAGTATGTGTGTGTCAGTGTGTCACAGTGTGTGTATATGTATGTCACAGTATGTGTGTGTCAGTGTGTCACAGTGTGTGTATGTGTGTGTCACAGTGTGTGTGTGTCAGTGTGTCACAGTGTGTGTGTGTCAGTGTGTCACAGTGTGTGTGTGTGTCAGTGTGTCGCAGTATGTGTGTGTCACAGTGTGTGTGTGTGTGTGTGTGTGTGTGTGTGTTACATGAGGTGAAGTGTTTGTGTCCCACAGAGTAAGGCTTATGTGTAACAATGTGTGAGCAAGTTGTGTATATTGCTTAGGGTACGTTATGTGGGCAGCTCTCCGCGAGTTTTGTATGTCACTTAGAGGAGATTTCTTTTACAGAGGGGGTTCCTTCTTTTTATTTTTGATCGCACCACACTTGAGGTCTAGAATCTATCAAAAAGTCTAGTTTGATTCTTCTTCCAACAGCAAGTATGATCAGTAGTCACAGTAATTGTCTTTATGTGTATATTTTCTGTCAGAATACAAGTGTATATGTATTCGAAAGAATTATTGTATTTTGAATGGCTAGTATACATGAAATGTTGATTTAAATCTTATTTTATTATGAAATGTCTAGAGCCACCAGGGAGTGAGCACTAGAGAAGTGATGATTAATATTATCTATATAACTGGGTGATCCTGCTCAGTTCTTCAGTTAGCCTGCCCCCATGGTTTTATGCACCCGCATAATTTAGTAGAATTTGATTGTTTTTTGCATAATTTCTAATTATTTTCCTTTATCATTCTTTGTTAAAATTAACAGAATCACATAATTTCACATTTTTTTGCTCAGCGTAATTTCTGAATTGTTTTTGCATAAAACCGCGGGGACAGGATCCTCATTTCCTGTTTCAGGACCCTGTGTGTCTTGCACTGCTGGAGGATGTGTTCCTCAGTTTGGTCAGCTTCTCTACACTTACAAAGGGCATGAGTTGTGTTTGTAAATTGTGGGTTTTCTTAACACGGCAGAAAATTGACAGGGATTATTTTTTTTAATTTTTCTCAAATGAAGGGTAAAGTTAAGTGCTTTTAAGTTGTATGTATTACTGGAAAGGAAGAGAGAGAAAGGGATTGTGAACCCTATTTGTGTAGTTGTAGGTGTATGTGTTGTGTGTTCTTACCCTGCTCTTTATTTACTTCTATATATTCTTTTTGTGTTGCAGAGACCAGAACAAAACTCTGTGTCTGTTTGCTTTGGAAGTGCATCTATAATAAAGCTAATCCTCTTGCACATCTTAACAGGTGGAGCTTTCCCTTTCACTGTGGGAAGAATTGAGCATGGCTTCAATGTCCGGCCAGACCTATGTGCTGTACAGAATTCTGTCAACCCAAGGAAGTATTTGGGCAGGATCTACACAGACTCTCTTGTCCATGATGACAAGTCTATGCGACTACTGCTGGATGTCATGGGGCAGGTGAGGGTCATGGAAAGAGATTTTGTTCTGCTGGCAGATAATGATCGTCGAAATATAGCAGTATTAGCAGAATTAGCCACAAATATACTTAATTGAATTGATATTAAAGTTAATATCCTTGAAGGTCATGCTCTCAATGGAAAAATAGCAGCCAAAAGAGGTTGGGGTAGACCAATAAAAATTTAATTTGAGACCTTAAACTGCAAGGGGTTGGAAAAAGACAAGAAGAATTATATACAGTGGAAACCATATATAACAGGCCCGGAAATAACAGGGATCGGGTAATAACAGGGATTTTTTAAATCCCCGATTTTTCCTACTCTTTGTCTCTATTAAAAGTTATCGGCAATAACAGGGCCCCACCAGAGCCCAATCGGTTATAGCAGGGACAAAGGCTCATTAACAATGTGTAAAAAGTAAGAGAGAGAGAGAGAGAGAGAGAGAGTAACGCAGTAATGGCGCAAGCCCACGCAAGCCATGCCACTGCAAGCACACGCAGCGTGTGAAGCGAGAGAAGGCTGCGGTGTGCCGCAGACCTCGATCTAGCCCGAAACCTAGCAACACGCACGCGTAATGTGTCTACTGTCACCAACGATGTCAAGCGCAAGAGAAAATGCCTTTCAATGGACAAAAAAATACGAAATAATCCAGGCTGTTGACAAAAAACAAGCTCCACTGGCAGAGATTTGTCGTCAGTTCGACATTCCACAAGGGTCGGTTCTCAACATTATCAAGGACAGAGAGAAGATAGTGGCTGCATACTCCAATGGAAAGTTTGCTCTGGATCGAAAGAAGATGAGACTACCCGATGCAGATGCTGTGGAACAAGCTCTTCTGATGTGGTTTAAAGAGGCAAGGAGAAAGTTGGTGCCAAAACCCTTGTTCGTGGGTACTTGTGGCAAGTGAACTACCCATGAATAAGTACAGCTGGATTAGTCCATAAATGCTTACTTTTCTTGCATTTCTGATTTAACAGGGATCGGATATAACAGGACATTTTCTCTACTCCCACCATCCCTGTTATATCAGGTTTCCACTGTAATTTGTTGGGGGTTTTTTAGAGCACCTGAGCAGAAAAATGGGTGTCGAACCATAATAGTCAATGCATGTTTCAGATCCGGAACTTGAAGAAGAAGTCGCCAAACTTTGGAACTCAATATCAGTTTGAAATTGCTGTAGTTGTGAGGCACAATATTGAATTGTTAATCGACTATTGGTTTGCTTCCTCTCATTTCCCCTCATGACTACCCTGTGCGCAGTCCTTGTGTCAGTACAAAAAAAAGGGGAATGGGGGATGGTCCGAGGGACTAGAAAGCCTCAACGAGGGAAAAGCGGCACTAAACAGCTAACATAATATTTGATTGTGTTCATCTGTAGAGTCTAGATGGGCACGCTGTTAGCTCACTTGATATCATGCCTGGGTAATGTACTGTCGACCCTTGTGCGAATCCCCGATGAGGTCATCTGGAACTTACATTGTTTACAGAGTTTTCAGGGTTTCTGAGACACTTGGCTTAACCCAATTGGAGATGGTCTTTTACTTTTAGGTCCCACTTTTTAAATGATTCTACAGTATTGATAGGGCCATTACATGGAATACCTGGAGGTGTTATCTTTGACTCAGAGGTTGATGTGTAATGACCCTCCATCCTTCCCAGCCGCCAGCTGCCGTTGCACATTTTGCTAAAACCAGGCCAGTTCATGTTTTAATGATGTCCATCCAGGTTACTCTTTGTTTTCATGTAGCTCTCCTGCCCCACATCTTTCTTTCAAGCACCTCTTTCACAACGGTTTGGTATTGTTTTAAGTGACCAAAGTTTTGTATTTTTCTCCATTGAAAGGGGGATTTTAAATACAAACTCAATTTCGAAAAAAAGTAAAAAAGAGTCCAGACCTCTGTGATTAATAAACATTCACACATTTTTCCCCCCAGAACCGTGTAGTGCTGGGCAGTGATTACCCTTTCCCTCTTGGTGAGCATCATCCTGGAAAGCTGGTGGAGTCTATGGACGAGTTGAGTCCAGAGTTAAAGGCAAGTTACTCTCAAAGTAATTATGTGGCATAGTGGTGAAATCAGGCACTCATCAAAATATGAAATCGAAGAAACGAACATTTTTCTGTCAGTTTTTAAAAAATACAAAAATATTTTAAAAATTTTGTTTTACAGGCATGGATAACTCAAGCATGTCGGGGATTGACAATGCGTTTGACACATCAATAATTCTGGTTAACCAGTTATAACAAAAAATTAAAGAGATGACATTCAGAGAATGGCAAACTGTATGAGATGTCTATGATTGTGACTTTTTTTGTGTTCATGTTTTCAATATCCGACTGTATTAACTCTTACTTTGGCATCTGAAATTCAGTACTTTCAAAGTGATTTACATAATAAAGAATGGGAAAATGGAGTCAGCACAAGATACCACAAAGCTCAGAGTATTTAGAAGTCTTTAAGGGAAGCGTTTTATCACTTTGTGTGCATTTTTTCTAAAAAAGAAAACTACTGGGAAATATGAGAGAGGGAGAGAGAAAGACCTTCGTCTCTAGAAATTTGTTTAAAAATCTGTTGAAAATCTTGTTTTTCAAGTAATTAGTTTGCCTTTACTTTTTTATGCATAATGTGAATGCACACCTAATGGAAAAACATTCATTTTTTGGTTGGGTTTTTTTTTTTCAGAACCAAATCTTGGCAGGCAATGCAGCAGAGTTTCTTGGACTGGATCTCTCCAAACTTGGATCTGCCGGTTGTTCAGAGAATAGCGCTTGTTGTCTGTAAATGCAGCCATGGAAAAGATGCTGCCATGTTGATTTACCTTCATGCTCAGGAATTTTCATTATTCTAGTACAATAGAATCTAGTAATTGTCAAACGGTGGGGTTTTGAAGTATCAGAATTTCCCATTGATCTGGACATTGCAATGTAAGTTTTAAAGCATTTTCACATTGTTATAGGCACATGAAAACCAGGCAAGTGGGTTTGTAGGGCTGTACTGAATAAAATCCTAAATGATATAAATTGTTTTGATAGGGGCGTAAAAATACTAAAATTAAAAAAGGACAACAGGCAATTAATGTATATCATTTTTTAACACCTTGTGGTCATTTGGCGCTATAATGTGACGCTGAAAATTATCTATTCCGGTTACCTGGTGCAGTTCTGCGTCAGGCTCGAGAAGTCCGTTGCAGTCACCCCCCTTGCTGGGTGACCAGATGGGGTATATTTTACTGCTGGCTGGATGAATGCAAAGTGTTAAGAATTGCATCATCTTAAGAAAAATACTTCCATCAGTTGAGATGACGGGAGCCGGGCTGTAACTGTTTTTGTTTCTGTTGATGTAGATTTATTGCCTTTACGTATCTTCTTTACTTGGGTTTATCTGTATACTGCATAGTTGATAGGAGTCTTCAGTAAGTAGACAGGCATTTCTACTTAGCAACACAAAGTAGCTGATTCAAAGTGTGCTCTCAGGGCCATAGGCCTACTTTAGTTTCATATCGTCTTGCTTCCTTTCCTTTCTTCATTCATACCGTTACTCAAGATAGTATTTAGCATCATTCTCCTATACACTTACATGTATAGACTTTGTATAGACTGCAGTCTGCTTAAACTGAAATCTGCAAGACTGCCAAATTTTTTCTATATCCCCGGGATTTTAGTTATGAGGTTGCTTAACCCTTAAAACCCTGTACCGCTGGTGACCGCTGATGCTGTATTTTCCTATACTGCTGGTAACCGCTGGTCGACTTTATCGTTTAATTCCCAGTGCTAGAAACAGGGGATGTAACTCCAGATGACTCTGTCGCAAGGAGAAAGTACCGATAATGTCATGAGAGCAGTTCTACACCGAAAGTTTGGAAATTTTGCGAGTTTTTAAGAAAAATTAGTCACTTTTCGCTGCCAGGCCCTTCAGGCCGCAAAATTTTTGATATTTTTTATCCTAACCAGACCCCAATAATGATCTCCCAGTCGGATATATCGATAAATATGACTGTTGAAGACGATTGCAATGTTCCGCATACCATCGATGATTTTGACGATAGTGGAATTGGCAGGGGATCACCACTAAAGCTACCAGAGGCTAGATCTACTGCTGGGTCTAATGATACTTTGACTGAAGTGGAGTCGGGGATCACACGCAAGACTTAACTCATAGAGTTGGTCATAAAAACCAGTCTTTTAACCTTTTCCCCTTTTGTTCAGACTGTGCATTCATATATAAATAACATTTTCAAACTTCAGTAAAATCTAACAACAATTAAAGACACAGTAAACAAAATAATGAACCAACCTAATTTTTTCTAGTGTCTCAGTTTTAATTCAGGATTCTAGGGAGGTATGGAAAAAAAAATTCAGGGTTTTTAGGGTTAAATAGAAAGGGAAAAAAATCATAGGTTTTATTTTCTTTCGGTTTACTGCTGTTTTCAGAATAACCTTGTTTGGTTTATGTAGACTCCTGTGTATATTTATATGTATGTGTTCTGTGGTCCCATTCCCTGTACCTTGAAGACTGATAATGAACTTTACCTTGAGTATACATGCATAGTGATAAATTATATTTTATTTATATTTATATGTTGACATAGTGAAATTTAGAATTGACTTTACGTCATGTGATCACATCAATTGACTTTGTAGGCATATATTACGGATTGGTGTCAAAAGTGCCTCAAAACTTAGAATCACACAAAAACATTAAAATTTTGCCCCTCCTTTTTTTCCCCACTATGGCTACTGAATTACTCCTCTAGCTGGCCTGCCTCGAGACTTGAGCCATTACTCAAAACGATACAGAACATATTCCTCTGTATTTGTAGCTTAAGGAACATTGGTTCTTATTCATAATAACTTATGTACAACTTTGCGTGATGTATGTAGTGTATGCCCGGTTCATATGTATGCATGTATAATTGTACATGTATGAAGTTTATTCCCTAGTCTTGTAGTATTATGCATATCATAGGTTATGGTCTGCATTTTGTTTATGGCTGCGTAAATGGGCCTAGAGTTTGTATTCATTTATGTAGTTCTCAATATTGTGTAAATTGTTTCCCACAACTAAGCTCTACATAAGTTATTATATAAGTATATTATTTGTCACAAAATGGTGGACTTCAATAGCTTGAGAGTCCTTGAGAACCAAAAATTACAATTTTTTTGTGTGCCTTTCATCAAACTTTTGCAGTAAAATCCACACAGAAATGAGTTTTGAATGGCCATAAAAGGTGTTGAGCCTAAAACCAGAAATTTGATAAAACTTGCGAAACAGGTGAAAAAATGCGTTTCTTCTATTTCATTGTTTTGAGGAGCACCTGATTTCACCAGGATACTCCACATAACAGAATATATAAGTTGTTGTATACATGACGTAAGAGTCAATGATATGATCTCATTAAACTGGTATTAAAGTCTATTATAACTGATGGACGCATTAAGCTCAGTTCATATTCATAGCTTTTGTTGTTTTTGCCTTTCACCCGATTCGATATTCACAGTATCCAGTTCATGAGCTCATGTGTTTCACCATGGAATCTTTTTTCTGAACCAGATTAGCACTCTAAGCATATTATTTCTCATGAAAGATGATCTCTGTCCATAATGAGCGATGATCATTTGTAATAAAGTTTTCTCTTGTGTTGACTCCTGTCCAAAGTGTCAGGCTTGCATTTGCATGAAGGTCAAGAGGGTTAAATCTGGGATTCCGGAAGGGGGCAAGCTAAAAATCGTTTGTGGACTTCAATAGAGCCTTTATTATATAGACTATACTGTACTCTGAATTGTGTTTTGAAGGCTACCGTATGTTAAATGTTGCGGGGGCTCTAGTTGAGGCACATTTCATTCATATTATGCTCAAATTTTGATCCTTTTTATATCTCAGTGCCAGAAGCAAAAATATTCTTGCTCCTGTCTCTTCAAAAGTCATGGATGTCGTGGTCTTGAATTGAAACTTTTGGTCTCTCCTTTGTTTTACAAACTGAACCCTGATCCAACTTACTGTACAATAATTAGGTCAACATGTGATAAGTGTATTTTGTTTTTTGATTTATTGTTGCTTAGCTTTAGTTGAAGCTTGTGTTTTTGAGTGGTTATGGGTGTGGGGATTTATTTTGGTTTGGCTTGCATGTACTGAAGGTCCCAGTGGCCTGACAGTTGAGATCTGACAGCTTTTCTATAATATTATAAGCAAATTGTCACGATTGTTATGATGATCAGGGCATTTAAAACTGTTAATGATATATATGCCTTGAATTGTTAATAAAAGAGTTTTGTTATCAGCTGTGTTTGCTGTTTACCTCAATTGTCTGGGCAAGACTGGCTCTCAACATCTCAAATAATATGTTACTGTTTTAATAGTTCACAATCTGTTTGCCACCAATTGTTGACAAGTAATTGATATTATAAAGTGAAGATTATTCTCTTTCTCTTGAGGTGCTCTGATAACTCAGTTAGTATCGTGCTGGACAATGCAGGGAATGGCCATGGTTCGAATCCGAAACTGCATGTTCTTGAACTCGGGTTGTTTTGTGGAGTTTACAAGGCTTTCAACCCATTTTGCTTAGTCCTATCGGAGACAGACGTTATACATTTCCCCAAAAAAATCAAGAACAGACAGATATATAGAAATTCTTTCGTACCAACTGCAGTGATGTTACAGAACACACTATGCTACAAATGAAACAGAGAGAGAGAGTGAGTGTGTTTACGGAGCGGGTTGTTTCAGCTCGTAAAACATGTATTTACTAATGTACTGTCCTGTGTGTATGCATGAGTGCACCTAACCTTTGTAACATTCCACTGCCATTGTAAACGACCAAGACAAATTTCTCCCTGTGAGATGAATAAAGATTGTCATTGTCATTAAGAGGTCCTGCCTCTTAAATAACCTAATAATAGTGTTAATAAAGACATTACACCCATACGCTTACTATAATTTCTCTTTCCCTTTATTTCATCCCTTCCTTCAGTCTTCCTGCTTTTCTTCTTGGCTTCCTTTCTCTAGACTACTAGGTAGAAAGAAATATACAAACTAGGAGGAGGAGGAGAGGTAAGGACGACAGATGTTTGATAGGGAAGAAAGAGCAAACCATACAAGAGCCCTCACCAAGCACCTGCCAACTAACTTTACAATGTCAACCTGTTTATGAAATCCAAGATGATGGGCAGAAGGGATTGTTGTGTCTCTTTGATAATTAATTCAACAAAAGTCATTGACATATTGCTACAATTAGGCTGGTCCACTAGCATTTTACTGACCTTGTATAATTAAAGCTTTTATTTTAACCCTTTATCCCCGAAGGAGGCTTTCCCACTAGGCTGGAGCCCTCTTTTGGTACGAAACCTGAGAATGACAGATATAGGTGGGTGGTTGGCAGGTGCTCTGGTATTGTTTGCTCCTTCTTTCGTATAAAAAATGTATCGTCTCTATCTCCCCTCCTTTTTTATATGTTACTCTCTTGTAACACCTCTAATCTTCGGCACTTATTTGACCTTATTGTGTTGCAAGTGCCGTAAAAATGTTACTAAAACTGACTTATATGTATATCACTAAATTGGTCATTAATAAATCTAAACAAATAAACCTATTTTAATTGTTCTTTAACGAAAGAAAGAACTCCTGGTAAGAGAGACCTATTATGGGCAATTGCTGAAAATTTATAGCATGTCATCATCATCAACGAAAAGGAATTTGACAGAGGTGCTGACAGTGGATCACCAGCATGGGTGTTCCAACTGTTAGACGCTGGGAGCAGCTTGCCGGAGATGTAAGGAATTAAAATCTATTCTAGGATCAAAATTTGATTTAATCTGATGGTCGTTGCCACCATCGTTGGTCCAGTTGGGAATCAACAAAAACTGTCCTCTTGCACATAAATATCTGACTCTTGTTGGTTATTTCGCAACGTCTTACGAACCAAATGTGAAGAAATGGTCCGACTGCATGCCTCATCTCGCTGATTGGCAAAGTTTACCACCCAGTTTCTTTGGATTTTCCCCAAAATATGATGGCAAAGTGTTAAAGCATGGGTAATAACAATGTTTAGCTCACAAAGTAAAAACTAAATAGAGAAACGTAAATACAACTCAAAGTGACTCTTCCTTATTAATATCTGTATTTTCAGTTCAACATCATAGAATACAAGGGAACTTGAGATAGTCAGCCCTAAGCATATCACAGCAGCCTCACAGGTCCCTTCTTGAACACTCCTTCACTCTTTATTTAACACACACAAAAAACCCCCACATCCATTACCTTTTTCTCCCCCCCCCCCTCTCTCTCTCTCTCTCTCCCTCCCTCCCTCCTTCCCTCTCTCTTTTTCTCTCAGCTCTGGCCATCAGGCGCGCTAATAAATAGGTGTACAACCCTTCAATCTAAAAAATACAGGCATGCATACGCAGAACATTCCTAGACATATTCACAGCCCACACCATTCTGAAAATCTCACTTTTCCACTCCAGCCTTCTTTCTATGCTGTGAAAGATGTCTAGACCTCACGACAGAAGACTTTTTATAATTGATGTAAATCAAATACACAAAGCAACAATCAAACAAACACTCATAAAACATTCCAAACATTCATCTAATACCAAAGAAACATCCACCCAGCATCACAACACAAAGCATCAGCCAACCATCAAACAAACCGAAGCCTAACAACATCAGACAAACGTAGTCTTCAAATGCTCCTCATCCTCCCTGAGACTCATCAAAGATTTCTTCTTCTCCAACTCCTCAAGCAGCCTTTTCTCAGCGTACTCGTCCATCACCTCTCTGATCTTCCCTCTCACTGCCTCGATGTTGTCTCTGTTCTGGGCCGACATTGTGAGAATGTCATCAAACTTGGCCAGTGTTGTGGGCCTCAACTCCTCATCGACAGTCTCCAGAGATTCTGTGATAGTTGAGAATGAAGAAAAAAGGCAAAACATTGAGGAGGAAGGCTTTCGTTTTAGTAAGAGTTAGAGTTTTATGGCACTTGCATCACAATTAGGTCAGATAAGCACAGTGCTAAATGCCGAAAATTAGAGGTGTTACTGTGTTACGAGCGAGTTACAAACGAGACAAAAAAGGAGGAAAGATGAGGACGAAAAATGTTTGATAGGAAAGAAAGAGAAAACAACATAAGAGGATCTACCAACCAACCATGAGGAACGCTTTACTTCTTCGATGGTGTTAGGCTTCAAAGTATGATTTCAACTACCCAGAGTCTTACAAGAGAATGGAAACTACATCTTGTTTATCGTACTTACAAAATTTGCATTTTTAAAATACAATGAATGTCAGTCTAAGTCTATGATAATACAGTAGTCTCCGCCTAAACGCACGCCACACAAAAGCACGCTCCGCTCAAACGCACGCTTTCATCATCTGATGGGTTTTTTACTATATAATATAGACGTACAAAGCACGGTCACTCCCTCTAAACACACGCTCTGATCCGCGAAACACGCCGACAGGAAAAGCCTGACGAAATTTTCACTACCACCTGCACAGATTGCATTATAAGACAAGCCTAGAAAATTTGTGAGCGTGCCACTCACGTCGAACAAAGACAGTGATGGACAGTGTTTTCACATCAAACTTTCCAGTGACACATATAATGTATCTTTGAGAGAAGGTTTCTGACTGGCGTTTGAGTGACTGCGTGTATTGTTTAGTTAGATCTAGGCCTGTTGTGCAACCCGCGTAAATGCCGTAAAACACTAGACAGGCCTCTATAGGATTAAAGATTAGCCAAGTAAGCCTTATAAGCTGTGCTCAAAGAACTTATAACGCACTTGTTCAACGGATCATAGATCTCTATTTGAATTTACAGTCAGGGTGGTCGCTTGGAAGTGGCTGGGCAGTCGTCTCTATGACTATGACTATCTCCAACAGTTTCCTCTTACGCTATCTGTTCCTGACGTTTATAGTGCATATTCATTATACAGAGTCTGTCTTTCTCCCCCCCCCCCCCCCCATTCAACGCCTTTGTATTCTTAACCCCAGTCGGGGAATCTTTAAAAAAAAAACCAGTCACGTGTCGTCACATTATCTGCCAAAATGACCCCCTCCCTTCAATGGAGGTCACTCGAGTAATAAGGAATTGAGATGACTGCGTCCCTTCCTCCCTTTGCAAAGGTTCATGTAAACGCACGCTCCGTATGAACACACGCAAAGGAGCCCTCCCGAGCACAGTGAGTTTAGGCGGAGACTACTGTACAAGGTAACAGAACCAAAAAAGTGACATTACAAACCCCCCGAGAAAGTCCTGAATTTATTCAACTCATAAATGACATGCATGTTCTCATCAGGAAAGAAAATTTAAATTATAGGTCATTGTTTAAATACTTGGAACTAAGTCACTAAGTTAGATGGAACAAAAACCTTGCCACTTGCCAAACATTGTTTGTGAGAAGTAAATCAGAGACTTCTTCTATTTCTTCTTTGTGTTCCCATGCTAGATCTCAGGGCTAGTAGACTGCTATTTCCTCAACTTGCAGTGTAACTGATTTTTATAACTATGTGATCGTTTTTCCTACTTACAGGGCCCCTTGCCTTCAGGTATCCACATTCCGATTTCAAAGGTACTCTATTTATTTTGATACTGACCAGAGTATTTTTAGTTTGGATAGGAATTAATTTTGTCTTAAGTGGTGGCTGAAACCTCTTCTTATTGATCTTAGAAACAACTAGGGAACTTAAACAAGAGCAACTTGCACGCAGGACCTCCGGAATATTTTGCCCTCATCCGAGAAGGCTGGGTGTTCAATCTTACCTACCCTAAGATCAGGGATGCGGCTGAAAGACAACAGTAAGAATGAACCAGGAGTAGCAGAAGAGTAAAGAATAAGTGTAAGTGAGAAAGGAATAAAAAAGGGTGCTGGGGATGAGGGAGGGGGGGGGGGGGTGTCAAGGGAGGGGTGAGAGAGTGGAGAAGGAAGCAGATGACAAATTTAGACTAGAGAACAAGAAAGGAGGACTAAGGAGAAATTATAGAGAAGAAAACTTTTTTATAGCTAACATGTTTCAATCATGGAACCTTTTGATTGAGTAGTAAACACCATACCTCTAGATCACGAGAGCCCATAAACACTCTGTCAAAGAACCATCAAGTAGGGCATGAAATGGCAGTATTGAGGAGACCAACTCACCAGGTAAGTTCTGAACAAGGCTCATCAACCGTGTCACTTTCTCTCCACTGGGATCTGTGTCTGTTTTGTTGATGGCCAAGATAGCCGGCTTGTCCAGCATTCCGTGACCATAAGCCTCCAGCTCCTGCCAGCAACAAAACTTACGATATTTAATTTTGATAACAATACGAAAGTCAAGGGCATACTGAAATCTCATGTAACAATTTACTAATATGTCAAAGCAATCTAAAAGAACCTTTCGTCCACACTCAAATAAATCAAAAATGCTTCTTTTATAATTAATTCTAAACAGCACAATTTCTGTCACGATTATTAAATCTTCCAACAGAGATCAGAAGTGGGTGGTTGGCAGGTGCTCTAGTGTGGTTTGCTCCTTCTTTCCTATTAAACATCTATCATACTTATCTCTCCTTCTTTTTTGTCTTTGTTATTCTCTTCTTGCGTTACCTCTAATCTTTGGCACTTATATCCCCTTATTGTGTTGCAATTGCAGTAAAAGATGAGATCAGAAGGAAATCAAAATCAAAACAAAACAAACAAAAATGACTTACTCAGCTCCATGTTTAATTCTACACTAACTAGGGTAAAAAGCTACATTAATAGTAGCAGCTATATTGTCTTGAGTCTTAGCATCAGCCAACAGAGACTTAAGACCAACCTAGGATGTTGAAAAGAATAAAAGACATTTGAGTAATAAATTTTCCCTTTGCTCTCGTTATAGTTGATCAATATCAAAGAAAGAAAGGGTCCAAGCAGAAAGGGTTAAATACAAGCTTAGTGCATATCGTACCAGTGAAAACCTACCTGGTTGAGTAGAAGCAACGTTTCAAATGCTGATCGTTCTGGGTACTTTTCTGATAGCTGAAATGGGTTTAGATCCAAGACAAACAGCAATAACTTGGTCCGCTCAGCGTGTCGCAGAAACTTGATACCTTTCCCATAGTTCTGATGAGCCCCCTCAATAAGACCTGGCAAGTCTGCAACTGAGATCTGTGGGAAGAAAGAAATCATAATGCCAGGAGATAAAGAGAAAATAATAGTGGTGCCATATCATATATAAGCATAGTTAATATTAGCAATCCTCCAAAAATGAACTTAGTGTTAAACTGCAAAGATGGGTATTTTCCAAAAAGATTACAGTAGTCTCCGCCTAAGATCCCACTGCTTATGGTCTCGGTTCGCCTAAGATCCCGCTGTTTTGGAGAAACAGAATTTTTACTGTATAAAAGTCACCCCTAAGATCCCGCTCTGACCAGCACTGAAGGAGCTATATTCGGCTAAGGTCATAATCTAGTTATTTTTTTCTCTTTTTTAAGAAAAAAAAGAACAAGAAACCTGGGCATGCTCAGCTGATCAACCAAGTAGCGAAAAAGTGCAATCATTGTACGGTCCGTAACGTCACGGATCATTCACTCTCATGAATGCGATCACACCTCTGTTGTAAATCTTGATAAGCAGTTACAATGTTTGCCCCAGAAGGGATCAAACCAAGGTGTAAACTCGTCGATGCCTTGCTTTCCCTGATCTCCTGAGCCGTCTGCATGATCTTACATCACACACTAGGTGGAGAGGGCCAACAAGCAAGCATCAGACTCGAGACATGCTGATATTAGCACGTCTTGATCAGACTGCTTGCCATCAAACTGTCAACTCGTGGACACTTACGTTTTCCCGACCATTGCTCTCGTCATTCGGTTTTGCGCTCTAACTTCCTAGACAGACTGGCACCCATACTCGTAGACTGTCCGATCGCCTTTACCTAATGTGGTCATCTGTTGGCAGTGAACCTGCCTTTCATAATTTAAAAAATTGGTCTGTGTGGTCACAACACAACGATTTATGATACATCATGACATGGGCGGAGAACTCCGTTAGAGATGGAAAGCAATACATTTTTGGTGGGGGGCATTCCTTGAAGCCAACTGGTTCCCACCTGACACAGCATTTTTTTAAAAGCCCCACCCCCGCCCCAAACCAAAAAAAAGAAGAAAAAACTGACTTCTCAAAAGAACTTTTAGTGCCCAGAGTCACACCAGCTCATTTTAAAGTAAAGGAATATCATTGTACAGATGTTGGGCCTCACCATGAGTTACTGTGGATTCTTCCCCCAGGCCATTCGGCTAAGATCCCGGTTCGCCTAAAATCCCGCATATTCCTTGCTCCAGAGCACCGGGATCTTAGGCGGAGACTACTGTGTTACAATCAGGTGGTTCCGCACAGAATAAAACCTAAAACATGATGCTTTTACATTTCATAACATATGAGTGTGTTTACATTTGCTCTTCACTCTCTTCTTAACCCCAAAACACATTGTATTTAGCAAAAAGTACATGTAGTTTCGATTCGAAAAAGACAAAAAGTTGTTGGAACAAGGCATATGACTCTTTCTGATGTACAGTCACGAGACATTCTTACAGTCACCAGAGTAGCAGTAAGAGAGATAAATAGGACTTCATTGTAGTACCCTCAAACCACCCATGCGTGTTAAGTCTGAAACTCAAAATCCTGCATGACTAAATAAATCGGTATATATAATATATATACCACTTATACTGCTGTCTAACAAAATACCATTTTTCATTTTGGTGCCAACATTTTTTATTTGCTAAATCAAAAGCCTAATCAGTTACCCTACTTGTGTGGAAAAATCAAATTGAAACTGTGACTAGTTTTTGAATAAAGTAGATTTCAAATTTCGGAATGACTATTTTTAAACGATTACGCTGACCAAAAACCTCCCTTTCTCGAAACTGCCCTGAAGAAAAAAGGCCTTTTGTCAGCTTACGGAAGAATAAGCCTTCATTTGTTGACTTTCAGAAAAGAACCCA